GCATGTTAAGTTTTGTCAAAGGCCTTCTCTGCATCTATCGAGATGACCATGTGGTTCTTGTCTCTGAGTCCATTTACATGATTTATGATGTTTATTGACTTATGTATATTGAACCATCCCTGTATCTCTGGAATAAACTTGATCATAGTGGATGATCTTTTTGGTGTGTGTATGCGGTTTGCAATTATCTTGTTGAGAATTTTTGCAATGTTCATTAAGGATATGGGTCTATAGTTTTCTTTTTTGGTTGCATTTTTACCTGGCTTTCATATTATAGTGATGCTGGCTTCATAGAAGGAATTTGGAAGTTCTCCCTCCATTTCTATCTTTTTGAATAAATTAAGTAGCATTGGATGCAGATCTTCTTTAAATGTCAGGTAGAATTGTGCTGGAAATCCATCTGGTCCTGGGCTATTTTTACTCAGGAGGTTTTGTATTACTGTTTCAATTTCCTTGTGTGTTATGGGTCTATTTAAGCTGTTGATCTCTTCTTGGTTTAGTTTTGGTGATTCCCATGCTTTTAGGTACACATCCATTTCTTTTAGGTTTTCAAATTTACTAATGTATAGGTTTTTAAAGTATTCTCCTATAATGTTCTGGATCTTTTTGGTGTCTGTTGTGATGTTTACCCATTCATCTCTGGTTTTGTTGATTTGAAGGTGCTCTTTCTTTCTTTTGGTTAACTGGGCTAAGGGTCTGTCAATCTTGTTTATCTTTTCAAAGAACCAGCTCTTGGATTTGTTGATTCTTTGTATTGTTTTCTTTGTTTCTATTGTTTCATTAATTTCTGCTCTGATTTTTGTTATTTCTTCTTGTCTGCTGGGTTTAGGTTTCATTTGTTGATGCTTTTCAAGTGTCTTGAGTTGAAATGTTAAGTTATTTATTTGTGTTCTTTCTGATTTTTTAATGTAGGCACTTAGACTTATAAACTTCCCTCTAAGGACCGCTTTCAACGTGTCCCAGAGGTTTTGTTGTGTTGTATTGTCTTTTTCATTTAGTTCCAGGAGTACTTTTATTTCTTTCTTGAGTTCTCCTTTGACCCATTCTTTATTCGGGAGTGTGTTGTGTAATCTCCATGTGTTCATGTAGTTACTAAGGTTTCTTCTAATGTTGATTTTAAGCTTTATTGCATTGTGATCTGATAGAATGCATGGAAATATTTCAATCTTTTTGTATTTGTTGAGGATTGTTTTGTGCCCCCCCAGTATGTGGTCAATTTTGGACAAAGTTGCAAGGGGCACTGAAAGTATAGAAGGTATATTCTTTGGTGCTTGGGTGGAATATTCAGTAGATGTCTGTTAGGCTCATTTGATGTATGCTATTGTTTAATTCAGATGTCTCTTCTTTAATTCTCTGTCCTGTTGACCTATCTAATGGAGGCAATGGGCTACTGAAGGCCCCTACTATTAATGAGTTGGCATTTTTCTGGGTCTTAAAGTCCCGTAGTACTGTTTTTATGAATTTGGGTGCACTGTTCATGACTGTAGTATCTTCTTGGTCAATTGTTCCTTTGATCAGAATGAGGTGGCCCTCTTTATCCCATGATTAGTTTTAGTTTGAAGTCTATTTTGTCAGATATTAGAATTGCAACTTCTACTTTTTTCTTAGTACCATTCATTTGGAATATTTTTTCCATCCTTTAAGGTAGTGCCTTTCCTTGAAAGTGAGATGGGTTTTTTGTTGACAACAAAAAGATGGGTTTTGTTTCTTAATCCATTCAACTAGTCTGTGTCTTTTGACTGGGGAGGTCAATCCATTGATATTTAAAGTTATCAATGAAAGATGTGTATTGATTCCTGTTGTTTTGATTTTTGTTCACATTCTTGGTGTAACTGTGGATTTCCACAGTTATACCTTCATTAAGTTTCTTTCTGTTACCCCTTGGGTGTAGTAATTCCTTTCTTCAGCTCTTTGTGCTGCTTCAAGAACTCTCTGAAGGGCTGGTTTTGTGGATATGAATTCTTTCAGCCTATTTATGTCATGGAAGATATTTCTTTCCCATTCAACTATAATAGACATTTTGGCTTGGTAAAGTAATCTGGGTTGGCATCTGTGGTCATTTAGACCTGGGCATATTTTGGTCCAGGCTCTTCTGGCTTTCATAGTTTGCACTGAAAAGTCAGCTGTAATTCTGATGGGTTTTCCTTTATATGTGACTTGTTTTTCTTTTGCAGCTTTCAGTGTTCTTTCTTTGTTCTATATGTTTAGTGTTTTTACTATGATGTGTCATGGAGAGTTTCTTTTCTGGTCCTGTCTATTTGGTGTTCTATGTGATTCTTGTATTTGTATGGACATGTCTTTCTTTAATTTGGGAAAATTTTCTTCTACAATCCTGTTGAAGATCTGGTCCATACCATTATCCTGTGTTTCATCTCCTTCCTGTATGCCTATGATTTGTAAGTTTGGTTTTTTTATGGTGCCACACAAGTCCTCCATATTCCATTCTAGCGTTTTCTTAAACTTTTTGTAATCTTTGCTTGAGTGGTCTAGTTCATCCACTTTATCTGCCAGTCTTGATACTCTGTTTTCCATTTCATTCATCTTATTGGTGAGGCTTTCTCCTGTCATTTCTAATTGGCTTATTGAGTGTTTCACTTCCTTCTTCATTTCAGCCTGAATATTCTTCAATATTTCTAAGTCTTTTCTGAATTCATTCAGAAATTTATCCTTACCTTCTTTCAGTTCTTTGATTTCTTCGTGTGTTCTTTAAATTCATTGAATTATTTTATCATGTTTATAATTGCTCCTTTGAATTCCATGTCCTGTGTTATCTCTAGGGTGTTCTCACTGTACTCATGTACAGAACTGTTGGTACTTGTTAGGGGTATATTATTTGGGTTTTTCGTGTTGTTTTTTTTGCTGTGACTTTGACATGTGATTTCTTTTGTAGTTTCTGATTCTTGTGTGAGACTCAAACCTTCCTTTGTTGAGTTGAGGTCTGCTTCTGCTGGTAAATTTTATGTGCCTTTGTGGTTTACTTGTTGGGCATGAAAAGCTGGTTGGTCTAGGCTTCAGGTTTTCTCTTTTGATTTTATATTGGAGGGGCCAGATGCTGCTCAGGAGTTCCAACAGAAGCCCAAGTCTGATGAGGATCAAATGTTTTTAGCCTTCCTCCTAAGGTTTGGATCCTTCTGGTCAGCAGGCACAGTACAATTTGGGAGGATTGCTAGGTAGAGGTAGGATTCAGGACTCTCAGGTAGTCAGGGAAGGAGGCTGGTCTCAGGAATCCAGGTTGGGGGAGGGACAGCCAGGGATGAAGGCTGGTCTCAGGTGTGCAAAGGCAAAATGGGGGAGGGGACAGGCTTTGAGGGCTCTGGGGATTAGATTGAGGAATTGGGTTGGTCTGGGTGCAAAGGATGAAGAAGTAGTGGGGAGTCTGGGCCAAGAGGGTAGTCCAGAGGTCTGGGGTGCCAAGAGAAGAAATGGCCCAGTGCCTATGCTAGGAGAAGAGCCAGGGTGGGAGAGCTGGAAGGGTGAATGGGTTTGTAGGAGTCAAGGTACAGTAGGCAGGGTCAAACTTACCCAGGAAAGATGCTAGCCTCAGGAAGGTTGGGAGTTGGGCCAACCAGGCATGAAGGCTGGTCTCAGGTGTGCAAAGGTGAGGTGGAGGAAGGGACAGGCTTTGAGGGCTCTAGGGGACTAGAATGAGAAATTGGGTTGGTCTGGGTGCAAAGGATCAGGAAGCAGTGGGGAGTCTGAGCCAAGAGGTCTGGTGTGGCAATGTAGAGGCAAAAGAAAGTTGACTGAACATGCAAGGTTAAGGTGGGGAGGAAGGGTTGCAGGAGTGTCAGGATGTGAGTTTTTGGAAGAAAGTCTCTGGACACCTTGCAACTGCTTGCTTTTATCAGTTAAAATGAATACAAGTGAAATATATGATCTATAGTACCAAAGCTCAAAGAATGGTCACATCTTTGGTGTGCATCAGAAGCTACAGGTCATTCCAGATGAGGTGATGGTGGCACCTTCAGAATGGTACAATGTTCCCAGAACAAATTCTGAGCTTGTTTCTCACTTGTGTGCCTAGATACTTGGGAAGTGCCATTTGAGGAGATCTCTGAACTGCAATGGCTGGGAAGTGGAGCCCAAGGAGCTGTCTTTCTGGGGAAATTCCGAGCAGAAGAGGTGGCCATCAAGAAAGTGAGAGAACAAAATGAGACCGATATCAAGCATTTGAGGAAGTTGAAGCACCCTAACATCATCGCATTCAAGTAGGTCGAGGGCTTATTTGTTTATTTGGTTGGCTAGTTGATTGGTTGGTTTGGCGGGGAGAGATTGGTTTGTTGTTGTTTAATTTTGTTTTGTTTTTTAAAGAAATAGAGCTGCTTTCTTTTCCCCATTATACTTACATAAATTCCTGCTTTGAAAGACATTTTTAAAACACTTGATAGACTTGGCTCTGCACTAGATGCTTTGATAGGATCCTATGGAACTATTATATTTGAATCATGTCCTTAAACATATTTAGGAGTTCATTTTGCTAGAGCATGTGCAGTTTGAACAGGATGCATATGGGCCAGAGAAGGAGGAAGTAGGTCCTCGCACATCATCCTCATTTATCAATAGGATGACAGAGATCGCTTCATGAAACTCTGAAAAACATCCTGAAATTCATTTTTTAAATTTTTTATTATTTTTATTTTATGTGTATGAATGTATTGCCTGCATGTAGGTAAGTGCACCCGTGTTGTGCAATGCCCACGGAGGTCAGAAGAGGCTGTTGAATCCTCTGGGACTGGAGTTATGGACAGTTGTTAGCTGCCATGTGGGTGCTGGGATTCAAACCCGGGTCTTCTGCAAGAACAACCAGTGTTCTTAACCCCTGAACCATCTCTCTAGCCCCCTGAAATTCATTTTTTAAAAAAAAAGTGTTAGCATCTGAAGTGATTAGAGAATAACTAGTTCCTGCGTGATACAAATTTATTAGTTTCTATTAACAGCCCTTCTTAAATAGTAACTTACAGGGGCAGGTTCCTGTGGAATAGCCTCAGCAGGCCCAAGGAATCTTCCCCCTGTATCATGAAGCTAAGATTATCACGTGATTGAAAAGTCTTAGTTGGAATCATATCCCCAAAAAAGGCGATAAAATTCATTCTTGGGTGCAGCGTTTGCAGAATGGGTTTGATGAGGGCTAAGGTCAAGTTCTGGTTCCCTGTGACACCCTCCTGGTAAGGGAAAGACAACAGAAGAGCAGCTGGAACACTGGGACTGAAGTGACCTGTAGCTTTGTAGGGAGACACTTGTACAGTACACATGGGGAAGAGCTTCAGCGATTCCCGATTCTGTCATCCACCACCCTCATGGAGCTAGGAGAATGTGTGATGAAATGAAATGCTAGAAAGAGTAATTACCATTTTCCCAATACAATAAATTTCCAAAGATAATGAGAATATCATTCTAAGCAAACTGACAAATGGAGACCACCTTCTTTCTTCCATTTTCCTTCACTGAAATGACTTTACTTTCTGCAATGTGTGCCCTCCCACATGGAGGAATAGGCCAAGAGTTATAAGATACCAATCAGCAGAATTGTGTTTAATGGGTCTTTGGGCTTCCTGAAATGATAATAAATTTCCAAAGATAATGAGAATATCATTCTAAGTAGACTGACAAATGGAGACCACCTTCTTTCTTCCATTTTCCTTCACTGAAGTGACTTTACTTTCTGCAATGTGTGCCCTCCCACATGGAGGAATAGGCCAAGAGTTATAAGATACCAATCAGCAGAATTGTGTTTAATGGGTCTTTGGGCTTCCTGAAATGATTTAGGCTGTGTGTCCAGGTAAGAGACCTTTCCAGGAGCATGTCCTGGGTAACAGAAGGTAAAATGTACTCTAAGAGCTAGAGTGAGGTGCTGTGCTTTGCCTTCCTTTTGCTTCTTCCTTTTCCCATCAGTTTTTACCTACCTCACCTGTCCAGCCTGGTGGACAGCTTTCAGCATTGTTGGGCATGTCTAGCTGTTCTGGTGCCCAGCTCCTAAAGCTGAAAATACTTGAATAGTCTCTACCTCTACACAGCTAACAATAGTGAATCTGTAACTCCTGCGAATACACCACGCTCTTGGGGGCATTGTGCAGTGTTATACTTGCAGCCATCTGTACCACGTGTTGTTTGGCCAATGGGTCACATTCAAGACTTTCTGGAAGAATGAAGCCATGATTGGATTTTAATACATTTTTCTGTGCTTTTAGCTTCTTTTGAAGTTAGTAAGAGCCACACACAAAAGGAAAGTGCAAGATAAGGATACGATAGTCTTTTTCTTCTGATTTTTTGGTGATCTTTAAAGAAAACTGAAAATTCAGTGCCAAGAGACAAAAAGGCAGCGGTGGGAAGTGGTGAGAAAGCTGTGCAGAGCCGCTCAGAAGCCTTGGTGTAACCGGCGCTCACGGAACGACTGCTTCTCACTCTTCCAAGACAGACGAGAAGTTTATAAGATGTCAGTGTTGGACCATTTCTGTCTATTTGTGTAAGAAGTTAAAACGGGCTGGAGAGATGGCTCAGTGGTTGGGAGCATTGGCTGCTCTTGCAGAGGACTCGAGTTCCATTCCCAGCACCCACTAGCCACCGTCCTTAACTCCAGTTCCAGGGGAATCCGAAGCCCTCTTCTGACCTCCGTGGCATTGCACCACACGGGTGGACTCACATACATGCAAGCAATACACTCAATACATATAAAATAAAATAACAAACACAATATTTTTAAGTTAAAACACAGCTGAGAAGGAAGCTAAGTCCATTCAGACATATTTATCCCTATAGTCTAAGCACATTTCATTATTCCTGCTTTAGATATAATTTCTATGTAATCATAAATTATCTATTTCTGTTTGTTGCATACCTGTGCTCCAAACATTCCTAAAACTCAAAGAAGTTCCAGTAAAAATCAATTCTAGGCATGCTAGAGCATGACAGAAGAGTGGGGACAGTGTCCTGGCATTTGGCTAGAGCATCAAGGCAGGCCAAGTGACTGTCTGCCTTCAGTCTGTCCACGGTAGGGCCTCAGACTGCAGCTTCAAATCCTTTCCCCACTGCCAGCAGCCAATGAGACGGAACAGGAAGGGCAGCCTGAAGACCTTACCGCACTGTCTTGTCTAAAGTACTCAGTCAGAATCTCTGGAAAGTTTTAAAGGGAGTCCGAGCACACCTAAGAGGTGGATTCAGGAGTTGCATGTGATAATCTTTCTTCTGGAAAACAAAAACGGTGAAATAAAGCTAACTTATTTCCAGTTTTATGAGCTGATAGTATTGACAGGAATCCCCAGTATGACTGTTTATGTAGAAATTTAAAAGCAAAAAGGGAGCCAGCTTAATGGAGTGAGAGGAAAGAGCCTGGGCTTTGAAGTTAGATAGGTTTGAATCTTAAAGGTCTGGTACTATTAATTGTATGGGTTATTTATGATTAAAACAACTCCTTTTTACCCTGATTCTTACTTGCAAACATGGAAGAGCTAATGTCTATCTTACAATGATTTCAGGCAGATTAAATAAACCAAACACATGCTTTAGAAATAATGACAACTTTCTTGTTAGTTCTTTCCTCCCACCCCATGTCTGTTATGGTGAAGGCCTTGTCAGCTGTGAAAGCCAAGCTGAACCTAAGAAACATGTCAAGGACTTGCTGGAACTCTCCAGGCCTAATACAGAACAAAAAGAACCTTTCCCCTTAAAGAGTCTGTATTCTGGATGAGCAGAGAAAACTTTCACATAAAAAACTCATGGCTGCCACGTGTCATAAGAACTTAGAGGAGAGAAAAATCTTTTGGGACTTGAATAATCAGGAAAAGCTTCATGGAAGATACAGGAATTAATGGAACTATAGCCTGCATAGATATATAATGTTACATAATGTTATTTTTATCCTAAACAGAAATATTTTTCAGAGAATACATGTAGAGACAGAAAATTGATTCCCTTGTCTTTTTTGTTTTGTTTTGGTCCTCAGTTTAGTTACTTTAAATTTGAGTAATTTAAAATTCAGTAAGTAGCTGGGTGTGGTGGTGCATGCCAGGCCAGCTGGGGCTTCAGGGAGACTGTCTCAGTTGTATTAAATGTACAAAAACTCAATAAAAAAAAATCAACAAGTAATAATAAAAACACTAATGTTTTATTTGAATGCTCTGCACATTGCATGTAAAATCTATATTTAAAAAGAAAAATTTTAAATTATTTTAATGATCTAAAAGAACAGAGCATCCAGCCTGTACACGTATCAGAAAAGGCTACTTTGTTCCCAGGACACAGTGATATCACATACAACCACCAGAATAGCACATTGCTGTCTGGATGGAGAACAAAACAGAATTGTCCATATATATGCTGGAGAAACCCATGAGCCAGAAAGATTTTTGTGCTTATCCATGAATCGGGCCCTATTACTATAGGCATTTTAATGTCATTTGGATAGAGAATCAGCCCTTATTAAATATGCTTAAGGTATAAATTTGCATGTACATGTATTAGTCTGTGTTCATGTGCATCTATGCTTTCTTGAAAGGGGCGTTTGTACTCAGGCCCCATGTTATTGCATCATCATGGAATACTGTGCCCACGGACAACTTTATGAGGTCTTGCGAGCTGGCAGGAAGATCACGCCTCGTTTGCTGGTGGACTGGTCCATGGGAATCGCAAGTGGAATGAATTATTTGCACCTCCATAAAATTATTCATCGTGATCTTAAGTCACCTAAGTGAGTTCTACCTCGTTTTGAACATATTTTGTTTTGTTATTTTGAAATAAGGAATTTTTATCAAACACAGTGGAGTTTTCAGACATCAGACTTTCAATTCCTTCTCAGTTGCACAGTGGGTAATTCTGTTTATGTACCGTTAGCATTGCAGTTGAGATGTATAATGTATAATGCAACAGAATAAAAATGGCTGAACGGGAAAGAGAGGAGGGTTGGAGATGCAGGTCAGGGGTAGACTGCTTGGATCCAATACCAGGACAGAGGTAGTGGGAGAGAAGGAGGGGAGGGGGCAGAGGGGCTTGGCCACAAAATGTATGCCATAAGATTCTGTAAGTTGTTTGAGGTAGACTACAAATTGGCTTTGAGCTTCTGAGTCTAACAAAGGAAGAAATAAGCAGATGTAAGGTTCACAGTGGTCATAAGAAAAATAGTTATTTAAACCTCAGAAATATTTCTAGTAACTTCTACTTCCAAAATGATTCCTTGGTAACTGATAATCACTTCAGAAGAAGTATATATTCAATTCCCAACACTGTATGAAAGAAAGGAATTGATAAAATGGCAGCTTTCCATGTAGCTCCTATTTTTAAACATTATTTCTTCAGCACATTTTGGTTTAGAGAAGCAGAAAAGGAGTAATCTGTTTTCAAAAACATATTTGGGGGGCTGGAGAGTGGTTAAGAGCACTGGCTGCTCCTGTAGAGGTCCTGGGTTCAGTTCCCAGCACCCACATGGTGGTTAACAGCTGTTTGTTACTCCAGATTCAGGGGATTCAACACCCTCTTCTGGCCTCCTCAGGCATTTCATGCACTTACATACATACAGGCAAAACTCTCACATACATGAAATTAAAATAAATACATTTTTAAAAGTTAGAACAACAACAACAACAAAAACCCACATTTGGCCAGATGTAGTGTGGAAGACATCTGTAATCCCAGCACTTAGGAGGTAGAAGCAGGAATGTCAGAAGTTCAAATCTGGCCCCATCTACATAGCTGGCTTACATGACACCCTGACTTAAAAAAGAAATCAGGAACAGCAAAAACATGATTATGTCGTGCTTTCATTGTTTGCAACAGTTTTTATACCAATTATTGTATCATCTTTGATCCTGGCAAAAGCCGTGAGACAAATATGATGATATTATTATTCTCTTTTTAAATAATATTTTTTCTGCCAGAGATGGTGGTGCATATCTGTAGCCCCAATACTCGGGAGGCAGAGGCAGGTGGTTCTCTGTGAGATTAAGGCCAACTGGTCTAGTGAGTCCAGGCCAGCTGAGGCTACAAGGAGATCTCTAAAATATATTTTTTATTAATGCTTCTAAAACTCCATCCAATGTATTTTGATAATATTCAAAGCCCTTCCCCATCTGCTCTTAAATCCATCGCCACCTCCCTACCCGCCCCCCAACTTCATGTCCTCTTTTGTTTTTCAAGTCCATCAAGTCCAATTTGTGATGCCCAAATACTCTTAGGTGTGGGACCATCCCCTGGAGAGTAGTCAACCTACTAGGGGATACACCTTTAAAGAAAACCGACTCTCCCCCTCCCAACAGTTATAAATTACCAATAGCTCCTCAGCTAGGGTGAGACTTCATGCCTTCCTTCCTCCTTCATGCTGGATTTTGTCAGGCTTGAGCTTGCACAGGTCTTGTACATGCTGTCACAAATGCTCTTAGTTCATACGTGCAACTGCCCTGCTGTGTCAAGAAAACACTGTTTCATTGTCGTCATCCACCACCTCTGGCCCCTACATTCTTTCTGTCCCCTCTTCCACAATGGTCCCTCAGCCCTGAGGGAAAGGGTGTGACACAGGTGTCCCATTTAGGGCTGAGCACTCCCTAGTCTCTTACTCTCTGCCCCTTAACCAGTTGTGGGACTCTGTCAAATGCCATCTACTGCTAAAAGAAGTTTCTCATGAGTTGGAGAGATGGCTCTGTGGTTAAGAACAACCACAGCTCTTCCAGATGACTCAAGTTCAGTTCCCAACACCCATGCCATGGCTAACAACTCTCCTTAATTCCAGTTCCAGGGGATCCGATGCCCTCTTCTGACCTCCATGGGTACTAGGCACACCAGTGGTTCATTTGTATACATGCAGGCAAAACACTCATACACGTAAAGTAAAAGTAAATAAAAAATTTTTTAAAGAAGCTTCTTGGATGAGGGTTGACAGATGCATTAATCTGTGGGTATAAGCAGTCTGTTTAATCTTATGTCCATTTAGCAGAATAGCAGTAGTAGGCTCTATGACCTGTCTGATCACGGGTTCTTGGCCCTGATGACTGTGCCAGGTATGGGTTCCATCTTGTGGGGCAGCCTTAAATCCAATAAAAAAGTGTTTGGTTACTCTCATAATATTCATGCCACTATTGCACCCATGGGCATATCTTGCCAGACCAGTGTTAATTGTAGCTTTTAGATTAGCAAGATGGACTATTACGTTTCTCTTCCAGTACCATGCATAGCATCTTCCAGAACTATGAAAGCTAGTCAGTAAGGCTGAAGCTTCAAGGTCAGGACCAGCTTGACTTCTGCATGTCCTATAACTCAAGTATGTAGTGTCTTCAGAAATAGGGTTTTACTGTTACGTTCTGAAGAGTAACCAAGCACAATGGCACCAGCCAGTAATGTTTGGAGTTCTGCAGCCAACAAGTCCAAAAGAACTAACTCATTTCTGGCACTGGGCTTTGTTATTTGCTATCCTATAGTGTCTAGTAGGAGCACTGTCCCCCTGTTACAGGGTTACTCCATTTAAACTCTACATGTATATATTTTGGGAAGCTTCTATAGTAGTAGGTTTCCATATGAATTTTAGTGTTAGTTCTCCTTCCCTATGCGCCCTCCCCTACTCCGCCCTCCCATCCCCTACCCCATATAACCCTTTCTGTTCCCTTATTTCCCTTTCCCACTTACATCACTGCATTCTATCTCCCATCCTTTGAAAGTCACACACACACACCCCCACCACCGCCCCATGGTCCCTTACTAGTTTCCTGACTTCTGGGTTTTCCAGTGAAACATACGTATCTAAAGCAGGTAGCATCTACATATGAAAGAAAACATGCACTGCTTGTCTTTCTGAGTCTGGGTTACCTCACTCAGGATGATAGTTTCCAGTTCCATCCATTTACTTGTGAATTTCCTAATTTTGTTTTTCTTAAGAGCTGAATAATATTCCATTGTGTTAAATGTACCACATTTTCATTATCCATTCATCGGCTGATGGACATCTAAGTTGTTTCCGTTTCTTGACTACCATGAGTAGTAGAGCAGCCATGAACATGAATAGGAATCTCTCACTGTAGTGAGATACAGAGTCCTTTGGGTATATGCCCAAGAGTGGTATGACTGGATCATACTGTAGATCCATTTCTAGCTTCTTGAAGTCTCCACACTGATGTCCGCATTAGCTGCACCAGTTTTCACTCCCACCAGCAATGATTAAATGTTCCCCTTTCCCCACATCCTCACCAACATTTGTCATTATTTGCTTTTGTTGGTTTTTTTTTTTAATATTTGCCATTCTGACTGAGGTATAAGATGAAATGTTAAAGTAGTGTTGTATTTCCCTGATGGCTAAGGATGTTGAACATTTTTAAAATTTTTTCTCAGCCATTTTTATTTCATCTTTTGAGTGCACTCTAGTTCCTTGCCCCAAATTGTAATTGGGTTGTGGGTTTCCTTAGTGTTTAGTTTTGTTAAGGTCTTTGTATACTCTAGATATTAACTTTCTGTCAGAGGTATAGTTTGTAAAGATTTTTCCCATTCTACAGGTTGCCTCTTCACTCAAATGATGGTGCCCTTTGTTGTACAGAAGCTTTTTAGTTTCATGAGGTCCATTTGCCAACTGTTGGTCTTAATGCCTATGCTCTTGGGGTTCTATTCAGAAAGTCCTTTACTGTGGCTGTAAATTCTAGGTGTTCCCTACCTTCCCCTGTCAGATGCAGGGCATCAGGTCTTACGTTGAGGTCCTTGATGCATTTAGAGTTGAGTTTTGTACAGGGTGAGAGATAAGGATCTAGTTTCATTCTTCTGAATGTAGCTATCTAATTTGACCAGAACCCTTTGTTGAAGATGCTATATTTTCTCTTTCTTTTTCTCTTTGTCAAAAATCAGCTGGCTGTAAGTGTGTGGACTTATGTCTGGGTCCTCAATCCTGTTCCACTAATCAGTGTGTTTGCTTTTTATGCCAGTTCCATGCTGTTTTATTTATTACTATGCTTCTGTAGTAAAGCTTTAGAGGTGGCAATGCCTCCAGAAGTCCCTCTATTGTTCAGGATTGTTCTGGCTATCGTGTGTGTGTGTGTGTGTGTGTGTGCGCGTGCGTGTGTGTGTGCGTGTGCATGTGTGCGTGTGTGTGCGTGTGTGCGTGTGCGCGTGTGTGCGTGCGTGTGTGCGTGTGTGCGTGTGTGCGTGCGTGTGTGCGTGTGCGTGTGTGTGCGTGTGTGCGTGTGCGCGTGTGTGTGTGCGTGCATGTGTGAGTGCATGTGTGCGTGTGTGTGCGTGTGTGCGTGTGTGCGTGTGTGCGTGCGTGTGTGCGTGTGCATGTGTGTGCGTGTGTGTGTGCGTGTGTGTGTGTGCGTGTGTGCATGTGTGCGTGTGTGTGTGCATGTGTGTGTGTGTGTGTGTGTGTATTAAGACCTATAGAAGCAAATTTGTGTTCCCTAATGCATTTGGTGTGAGTCCATCTGCTGGAGCCTGGTCAGTCTATCACGAGTTTCACATTTAAACGAGCCTGACACACTTGTGTGTGTGCGTGCGTGTGTGCGTGTGTGTGTGTGTGCGTGTGTGTGCGTGTGTGTGTGTGTGTCCATATGAAATTTAAGATTAATTTTTCAATTTCTGTGAAGAATTGTGCTGGAATTTTGGTGGGGATTGCACTGAATCTATAGATTGCTTTTGGTAGGATGGCATTTTCACATTATTAATCCACCACTGGAACCTATATACTCTGTCATCCGTATTAAGGCCCATTGTGCCAAGTCAGTGTCCCCAGACACTCCCCAGTGCCGGTCCATCCCCTGAGGTCTAGTCAGCCTATCTAGAGCCCCTTTTTTAGGAAGATTAGTTCTTCTTCACCTAGCAGTAATCAGTTGCTAATATGTCTTCAGCTGATTCTGTTGATTTCCCCAGTTCTATGCTGGGTTATTGTCTGCCTGAGTTTGCGTGGGACTTGAGTATGCTGACACCATTGTCATAGAATCATATGAGCAGGGTCCCAGGAGCTTGTAGGGCTCTGTTTCCAACTGGTCATGTACCTCCTCCCTGGCTCTTACAGTCTTTCTGCCCCCTTTTCCGAGATGGTCCCTGAGCTCTGGGTAGGTGAAGTTTAATATAGGAGTCCTGTCCAAGGACCAGCATTCTGAAGATTCTTAATCTTACATTTTGGCCATTTGTGACATTTTGTGTTCCTGGCCCTCTGTTGCATGAGGGAGCTTCATTATGAGAACTGAGAGGTTCCTTGGAGTCCTCCTCTTTACCCCTGTTCTGTGTTCTGTGCACCTTAGGTGTAGAGGTTGCATTGTAGATGTGTTGTTCAGGCCTGGGCAATTCATAGACAATGTCTGTGTGTGACCAGTTGTGAGACTTGGTAATAGTCTCCAACTGGTGCAAAATAAGCTTCTTTGATGAGTGGTGACTGGGATATTTGTCTGTAAATATAAGAATACATATTTTGTACATAGTAAGAAATGTTAATCTAGGGGTGTGACAGTCTTGGGGTTCTCTCTAAGATCTATGACCACTCCAGCCATGTGTATTTGGTTATGTTTACAGTACCACACTTGAGTTTCCTCCCAATGAATAGGTGTTTAGTCCACTTAGGTAGCTGTTGATTCCCCTCAAGATAAAAGTGCCACTACTGCACCAATGTCATACACTGTGCTGGCCATCGATGTGGTTATTTGGTCTTGAAGCTGGTGTTGCACCATCAATTGATGTGTGTCAAGGAAATTCTATCTCTTTATTAAATTCTATTTTCATTATCTTGAACTATTTTATTTCATTCAACTGTTTTTGTTCTCATGGTCTTCATTGCTGAATTTATGCATAATCTCTTTGAGCTCCTTGAGTGTATAATTACTATTTTTAAATCTTTGTTTTGTGGGGCCGGAGAGATGGCTCAATGGTTAAGAGCACTGACTGTTCTTGCAGAGGACCCAGGTTCGATTCCCAGCACCCACATGGTGGCTAAGAACCGTCCTTAATGCCAGTTCTAGGGGACTCCAAAGCCCTCTTCTGACTTCCACAGCATTGTACGACACAAGTGCACTCACATACATGCAAGCAATACATGCACACACATAAAAATAAAAATAATAAATAAAATATTTTTTAAAATCTTTGTTTTGTGCATTAACTAAGTTGCTTTTCTCAGGAAATATTATGATGGGAGGTACTAATTTATGGAGGAGGCATATTATTTTGGTTATTCATGTGTTTTGTGATGGGACCTAGGCATCTGGAGTTAGGTTGTTGTTGGTGTTTCTTGGTATGGATATCTGGTCTCATCTTTGTTAAATGGGTATTTGGAACTTTATTTGCCATTACCCTAACTTGTCAGGTTGTGGACCAGTTGAATGGTACCTGGGGTTCAGTCTTAGAGCAACTCCATGCAGATGTGTGAATGGAGTGTCAGAAATAACCCCAGCATAGTTATGGATAGATGTAACTTCTGAGCCCAGGAGTAAACCTTCCATAGGGTTAGAAGATTCTTGCTGTTGATCTTCAGAAGTCTGTGGAGGGCTCACTGGGTTCTACAGGTGATCCTTAGGTGGCAAGGACTGGGTTCACAGGAGGAATAAGCGGTCATCCCTGTAGACTGGGTGCAGGACTCACTCCAATCTTAAGGTGGAGGTGGTTAGGGTGGATGCCAGCCTGGGATGGGGTCCCTACCTGGGGTTGAGGTCACAGAACACCACCTGGTCTCCAGATGGCACAGAAGCTGATGGGTGTTGTTGGGCTGGGGGAAAAGGTCTGAGGGTACCTCCCTGGGGTCAGATTAAGTCCCATGAAGTCCCTGGGTAGTACGAGTGGGGTGTTGGTGGGTGGGGAGACAGGCTCTTGGGGATGCCCACCTAGGTTCAGGGTCTCAGGGGCCACTCAGTCCCTGGGCAGCATGGTTGGTTCTATTGCTGTGATAAATCACCCTGATCCAAAACAACTTGGGGAGGGAAGAGTTTATTGCACCTTGCACTTCCAAGTGACAGTCCATCTTTGAGGGAAGGAACTTAGGGCAGGAACCTAGAGGCAGAAACTGAAGCAGAGACCATGGAGGAGCAACTGCTTACTGACTTGACTCCTCTGGCCTCTTAGCCTGCTTTTTCATACAGCCCAGGGGTGGCACTGCTCACAGTGGGCTGGGCCCTCCCACATCACTCAACCATCAAGAAAATGCCTCACAGACATGCTCACAGGTCAGTCTAATAGAGGAAATTCCCCAACTGAGAGTCCCCTTTTCCCAAGTGAGTTAAATTGGCAGCTGAAGCCAATCATGACAGCTTGCTTTCGTGTGCATGTGTGGAGGCCAGGGTTCAATCCTGGACGTCTTTCAATCACTCTCCACCTTATTTCTTAAGACAGGGTCTTTTACTGAACGATGAAGTTTACCGATTCAGCTAGATTGACTGGCCAGCAAGCCCCCAGGATCTGCCTGTCCTCCCCTCTCCAGTGTTGGGATTACAGATGTGTTTTGCTGAGCCCTGCTATGTGGGTGCAGGGGATCTGAACACAGGTCCTTATGCTTGTGCATAAAGCACAACATGGGTACACTTACATACATTCGGGTGTACCTACCTATGTGCAGGCAATACAATCATACACGTAAAATAAAAATAATAATAAAGAAGCTCATGGCTGGGAATGGTAGCACATGCCTTTAATCCCAGCACTTGAGAGGCAGAGGCAGGTGGATTTCTGTGAGTTCAAGGCCAGCCTGGTCTACATAGTGAGTTCCAGGACAGCTGGGGCTACAGGGAGACCCTGTCTCAAAAAGACCAATCAATGAGTCAATAAATAAATATAAAAACTAAGTTCACATCTTAAACCTTCAGAGTCAGATGATTTCAGGAAGGTAATAGTACATTTCCTTAGTCTGACGTAACTACTGTAATGCGCCACATTAACACATCTGTGGCAAAACCTATGAAGTTCACACAAAATACAACAAAAAAGGTAGTTTGAGAAATGTGCATAAACCATCTTGAGGGTGTTTTGCATTCTTTAAATTGTGGGTGAAACACCTTAACATGTGTTACCTCCAATGTACTGGCTTAGAATAATAAGTAATTTGGCAAAAGTCATATAGTTAGCAAGTGGAAGGGGCTAAGCTGCCTGACAAGTATCGGTGATGCTGTTTCTATGGTGTGACTAATGTCCCAGGAACAGTGGATATTGTAAGCTGAATTCTACAGGGTAAAAGGCAGCGAACACAACCTTCAGTTGCTGCTTAGAGCTATAGTTTTCATTAGTACTAATGGTCTGGATGTTGTCTTTATCTCTTTTTAAAGTGTTTTAGTGACTCACACAGATGCAGTGAAAATTTCAGATTTTGGTACATCTAAAGAACTCAGCGATAAAAGTACCAAGATGTCCTTTGCTGGTACAGTTGCATGGATGGCACCAGAGGTCATACGGAATGAACCTGTATCTGAAAAAGTTGACATATGGTGAGTTGCACTCTCTAAGCCCCTAGAAAGCCCTTGCCATTTTCACCTGATTTCTGCCTTCGATGTTTTTCTTCCCTGGAATATTCCTCAGTGCTCTTCGAGTCTCGTTGATGTTGGTTTCATATTATCTAAGGTTCTACCCAGTAAGATGGTACAGCTAGGGAGGGTTAGGAGAAGAACTGGGGCGAATATCCAGTCAGGAAATTATCTGTTCTGAGGGGTCTCAGTGAATATGATGAACTTTCTAGAAAACTGAAAGTTTATTTCAGATGACTATTTAGTATACAAGTCTTTATCAGATAATTCTTACTTTTTTGAGTAAAATACAATAAGTTGACTTGTTATTGACAACTCAGATCAAATGCCATGTCAGTGATGCACTTTGCAGTCTAGGCCTGTTTGAGTGTATCCGATTTTTGCCCTTTAGTGAATGATTTATTGACTGTACCTTTAACACCTGACCTCCATTCCAGCATGTGTATACACACACACACACACACACACACACACACACACACAACACACACACTGAATTAATTAAAAAAAAGAAATAGATTTGGATGTAAATCCAGAAATAAAACAGATACTGAGTATGTGCTAGAAATGACTTTGAATTCACAAACTAGTGAGGACAACAAGGGGAAAATTAAGTCCAAGCTGGAGATGCGGCTTAGAGACAGAGTGCTTGTTCAGTGTACATGCGTTCTACCCGCAGCATTGCAGAAAATGCAAAGCAAAACTACAGCATACCGTACATGAGGATAAAGTAAAATGAAACACAAAATTAAATGTGAAGAATGAAACCATAAAAACACGAAAAGAAAAGTCATGGGAAATTTTGAAAACTCAGAGAGAGGAAAGCTTCCCTAACCGTGTAATCTAGAAAACGTAAGGAGAGGTCGGTAGGTTAGATTACATGAAAAAGTGTTGGAAGGAGAAAAACAACAGCAAGAACACCATCAGCAAAATCTAAAACCGTGGCAGGGATCTGCATGTGCGCAGAGGTCAAAGCACAGCTTGTGGGAGTCGGCTCTCTCCTTCCACCATATAAGTCCTGGGGTTCAGACACAGGTCGGGCCTGCCAACAACCGCCTTTACACACTGACCATCTAGCCAGCCCTATTCCAATCTATTTCTATTCCAGTCAAGCTATGGTGGTCTGTTGATGCACCGGAGTTCTTTGTTAAGGTGTTGTAATTTGTCTTTCCCTCTTTCTTTCCTGTTTTTATTGTGACAGGGTCCCACCATGCAGCTCAGGGTAGCCTGGAACTTACCTCATAGCCCAGGCTCTACTTGAATTCATGATCCTCCTACCTTAGCCTCTGGGTGCTGAAATCGGAAGCAGGTGCCACCTGCCCAGCCTTGTAAGAAATTTAATATTTAGCAGCACTGATTGCCCTTCATTCATTCTAATTCAGATATTTATTGAATTCTTGTTTTTCTCAGAAAAATATTCATATTTTAAAAATATAAAATATATGGGTTTGATTAAACTGAAGAACCGAGATACAAAGCAGCCGCTCTGAAGTGTCCTCTCTCTGTGCCCCTGCTGCTGCAGGTCTTTCGGAGTGGTGCTTTGGGAACTTCTGACAGGAGAGATCCCCTACAAAGATGTAGATTCATCAGCCATTATCTGGGGTGTTGGAAGCAACAGCCTGCACCTCCCGGTTCCTTCCACTTGCCCAGATGGATTCAAAATCCTTATGAAACAGACATGGTAGGAAGCCTACGTCTACTACTCTTTTACTTTCTTCCTCTGAAACAGCAGAGGGGTCTACTGTGCATCTGGAATGCGCCACCTAGTGGTGGAATCAGGAGCCATGAATTTGAGAACCTTGGGTTATCTGTAAACCGGGAGCACGTGTCACTGTAATATACAGCCAGCACCTAATCTAGAGTGTGTTGTGACTAAGCAAAATGTAAATGAAGAATTTGGTACGCTACAGTAACGAATGGTAACTATTAATACTTTACCGGCCCTAGTGGACTATCACCAGAGCCTCTCACCCTAGACTGCCATTTCGTAAGTAGGTGTTTGTCCTAATTATGTTCTCCTCTTGCCTTCAGTACCCCTGAACTGTCTGAGATTTAACCATTCTTGGGATAAAAATGTGTTTCCTAAGGCAGAATAAAACTCTCACTCTCTTGTACGAACCTTGAGATGCATGCTGTCTTCTACTTTTAGGCAGAGTAAACCTCGCAACCGGCCTTCTTTTCGCCAGACACTCATGCACTTAGACATCGCATCTGCAGACGTGCTCGCCACCCCACAAGAAACTTACTTCAAGTCTCAGGTAAGCCAGGAAATTTCTATGTCATGTGACTGAACAGACAGCTAGAGAGCACTCAGTGAAAAGGGTAACTCCTAGAAGGGCCATTTTCGGCCATGTAACAATTACATAATCCTATTACTGTGAACCAATGATTACAATACTTGGCAATATGATACAGTCGATTCTGGTGAAATTATTGGAGAAAGAAGAGAGAAAGAGGATATGAAAACTGTAATGTGCCTATATTTGAACTGTAATTACTGATCTTCCTGAAGTATTGCTGTCTTTGAAGCACAAAAGCCAAATAACAGAAGACGGAACTTAAGTACCAGAGAGAACCCACAATAGGTGGGAAAGGGTAACTCCTAGAAGGGCCATTTTCAGCCATGTAACAATTACATAATCCTATTACTGTGAACCAATAATTACAATACTTGGCAATATGATACAGTCGATTCTGGTGAAATTATTGGAGAAAGAAGAGAAAAAGAGGATATGAAAACTGTAATGTGCCTATATTTGAACTATAATTACTGCTGATCTTCCTGAAGTATTGCTGTCTTTGAAGCACAAAAACCAAATAACAGAAGACGGAACTTAAGTACCAGAGAGAACCCACAATAGGTGGCAGAGGCAGGCGGCTCTCTGTGGCTTAGAGGCCAACCTGATCTATATAGCAAGTTCCAGGCCAGCTAGAGGTAGAGGAGTTTTTAACTATTTATTTAGATCACCAATCTGTGGACTGACAGTTAGAGCTAGGCAATTCTTCTGAGGCCTTTGAGTTTACTCACATATCTGTAGTCAGATACCAGGTTGATGGGAAGGCTATCTGGCTCCAGATGGCCTCATTGGCAAGTCTAGTGATGCTCTGCCTGTTAGCTGGAGACCTCTCTTTTTCTCCATGTGGCTTCTAATCCTCTAACAGACTAGCTTGGGTTTCTTCACATCATGTTTGTTCTCAGGGTAACGAACAGAGCAAGAAAGCAAGACCCAACATGGGTGATTGCCATGGCTACATGCGCATCATGCCTGCAAATAATATCGTGTTGACTGAAGCAAGTCACCCTGACTCTAGAGACTGAGGATAGAAATCACATCTCAACAAGAGAATCTGCAAGAGCAGATTGAAAGGGCATTGAATCAGAGAAGGGAAGGGTGGTGGCTAGTAAGTAAAAAAGGTTGTAAATGTCCCAAGGATAATGGGCTAACCACTATAACTACGGCTAGAGACTGATGAGAGATGAGCATGTGCAAGGCAATAGGGCAGTCGGGAAGGGGATGAGTAACCGGTAAGGAAAAATTCTTCCAACAGCTCAGAGATCAAGTGTTTACCCAGGAGAGAGTTGGAAAGCTTGTGTGTTCGTTCTCAGGCATGAGGTCCCAGAACCAGCAACAAAGGCTTCAAGAGTTTCTGGACCCCGAACAGAAGTACAGATGGGGGTTAAACAGGTCTTTTATGTCATCTTTTTATGGCTGGCACCTGAGCCCTGTGTTTCTTTTCATGATGGGCCATTTTATCTCAGGAAATTTTCTTCCTGAGTTCACTCGGTCATCATAGCTTACAAAGTAGATGTCCCAGGCATGGGTCAGGACATCTGTGCCTTTTGATCTATAGCTAGGCCAGGCTAATTGGGCTAGGAATTGATCAAACACTTGTTGCAGTTTACAAGAACAGATGGCAGAAGTTTAGATATCTGACATGTGTGATCTACGTGTCAATTTCTTGGACTAATTGGACCAGGTGCTTTATTAAACCATTTGGTGAATTTTCCATTTTCTTAGTTTCTCATCTATATCACTAGTTAGGAAAACTTCAAATGGCCTAAGCTTACAAGGACATTATATTAGAATACAGTTAATTATAAGAATATAACTTTTCCTTATCATAAGAACAGTAAAATAAGTAATAAATAGGAAAAGATCCAAAATTTTAAAAATTCTTAGAAACAAATGAAAAGAAAGTACAGCCTCCCAGCTCCTCTGGGTCACAGCTAAGGCAGTCCTAGGAGGAAAGTTTGTGATTACACACGCTCACATTAAGAGTCAGAGAGATCATGAATGAGCAACCTAATGATATCCTCAAGGCTCTAGAAGGGCAAGAAGTCAACCCCAAATCCAGTAGATGGTAAGGACAGTACAGACTAATGCAGAAATTAGTAAAATAGAGGCTAAAAGAACAATGCCCAGAATCAACCAAAACAAAGAGACAGCTCTCTAAGAAGGTTAACAGGATCAACAAGCCCCTAGGCAAGCTAACCAAAAGAAAGAGAAAGAAGGCCCAGATCAATAAAATCAGAGACAAAAAGGACATATTACAGCAGACCCCAATGAAATCCAGATCATCAGTGAATACTATGAAAACTTATATTCCAAAAAGCTGGAAAACCTAGATGAAACGGATAAATTTCTAAACATACATGGCCTGCCTAAATTAAAGCCGGAAGATATAAATTCTTTTTTTTTTTTTTTTTTGGTCTTTTTGAGACAGGGTCTCCCTGTAGCCCCGGCGTCCTGGAACTCACTATGTAGACCAGGCTGGCCTTGAACTCACAGAGATCTGCCTGCCTGCCTCCCAAGTGCCAGGATTAAAGGCATGCACCACCATGCCCAGCAAAATATAAATTCTGAAACAGACCCCATACAAACAGTAAGAGTGATGCAGTAATTAAGTCACCCCACAAAGAAAGGCCCAGGACCAGATGGGTTCACTGCTGAATTCTATCAAACTTTTAAGGATGATCTAATACTGAATTTCTCAGAGTCACAAATAGAAAGGGAAGGATCACTATGAGATGCTTTCAACAAAACCAGTATTATACACCGAAAGCAAAAACGAAAAACTACACCAATTCCCCTGATAAACATAGTTGCAAAAGTTTTCAACAAAACACTTGCAACCAAATTCAAGATCACATGAAGATCATACATCATGGCCAAGTATACTTGTTTCATCCCAGGATGCAAGGTTGACTCCGCATACAAAAATCAATAATTGTAACTCACTATATGAATAATCTTTTAAGAGTGTTCGTGCATGCGTGTGAGGTGGGTATGTGTGCTGTGCATAAGCACAGATGCTAGGAAATGACGTCAGGTATCCCTCCTGGCATTCTCTTCCTATTACTTTTGAGGCAGTGTCTTATCACTAAACCCAAGGCTCATGTTTTCTTGGCTAGGCTAGAAGCCAGCAATTCCCTGGAATCCTCCTCTCTTTACCCTCCTCAGAGCTGGGGTTACAGGCATTTACCAGGACTTCTGGCTTGTAATATGAATGTTGGAATTTGAACTCAGGTCTCATGGTTTCAGAGCAAGTACTCTTTTTTTCTTTTTTCTTTCTTTTTTTTTTTTTTTTGAGATAGGGTCTCCTTGTAGCCCCTAGCTGGCCTAGAACTTGCTACATAGACCAGGCTGGCCTTGATAGAGCAAGTACTCTTAACCACTGAGTAATCTCTCTGGCCCCCATATAAATAATCTTAAGGACAGAAATAACGTGATCATTTCTATAGATGTGGAAAAGGCATTTGATAAAGTTCCACATGTCTTCATGACAAAAGTCCTATAGAAAGGTCAGCAAGATGGCTCAGTGGGTAAAGGTACTTGATCTCCAGGACCCACATGGTAGAAGGAGAGGACAGACCTCTGTACGTTGTCCTCTAACCTACACACACACATACACACACACACACACACACACACACACACACACACACACACACGAGTAAATTAGCTGTAATTTAGAACAGACAATATGTAGCTCAAAACAATAAAGACTATATATAACAAACCTGAAACCAAGATTATATTAAATGGAGAAAAACTGAAAACAGTGCCTCTAAAAATCTAAAATTAGGCAAGGGTATCCACTATATTCTTACTCAATATTGTGTTCCAAGTCTTGACTAAAACAGTGTGACAAAAGAAAGATACAAGCAGGATTGAAAATAGGAAATGAAACAGTGAAACTATCCCTATTTGCTGGAGAGATGGCTTAGTTCTTGAAAGCACATACTGGAAAGTTCGATTCCCTAAGTTTGATTCCCAGCACCTATGTCGGGCAGCTCACAGCAGTCTATAAGTCCAGCACTGCACTCAAGTGCACACCCCCCCCACATACATATAATTAAAAAATAACAAAATAGAACATTTTAAAAAATATAGCGGCTGGAGAAAATTATAGGCTTAGTGGTTAAGTACACCAGCTGCTCTTGCAAAGGACCCAGGTCCAATTCCCAGCACCCAGCCATCCAGAACTCCAGTTCCAGGGGACCCGACACCCTCTTCTTGGCTCCGCGGGCTTTGCACATCTTGGGTGCACTTCCATGCGTGCAAGCAAAACACACACATAAAATAAAAATAAGTCAAAAAAATCTTTTTTATTCTACATTTTAAAAGACCTTAACAGCCTCTGCCAGAAAACTCTTAGATTTCATAAACACATTCAATAAAGTTGCAGCATACAAAATCAACAACAAAAATCAATAGCTTTTATATATACCAATAATAATGAACTTGCTGATAAAGAAATTAGGAAGAACATCCCATTCACAATAGCTCTCCCCAAAATAAAGTACCTAAGAATAAACCACACCACGAATGTGAGAAACCTCTGTAATGAACTTTAAGACACTGAAAAAAGAAATTAAAGAAGATACGAGGTGATAGAGGCATTCCATGCTCCTGGATTAGTAGAATTAATATTGTGAAAATGGTCATGTTACCAAAAGTGATCTACACATTGGGTAAAGTTCCCATCAAAATTTCAGTGACATTCTTCACAGAGCTAGGAAAAAAAAAAAAAATCCTAAGCCTTATATGGAGACACAAAAAGTGGGCATAGCAAAGCCATCCTAAACAGAGACAGCCCTGCTGGAGGCCTTGCAGTACCTGACCTCAAATTATACCACAGAGTGGTCGAGGTAAAAACCTCCTAGCACTGGCACAAACACAGATGTGTAGACTAGTGAACAAGACAGAGGACCCAGAAATAAACAGCACAGCGACAGCCGCCTCATTTTTGACAAAGGCATCGAGAACATATACCAAGGAAAGAAATCAGTAGGGTGTCTCTCACCCTGCACAAAAATCAGCTCAAAATGGATCAAAGACCTTAATTTTAAAACCTAAAATGCTAAAACTGCTAGAGAAAAACACAGGGAATGCACTTAAGGTACAGGTATAGACAAACTCCAATAGCACAGGAAATAGTTTCAAGAATCACCAAATAGGACTACAAATAATTAAAAGCTTCCAGCACAGCAAGGAAAACTATCAGCAGAGGGAACAGGCAGCCTACAGGATGGGAGAAAATCTTTGCCCAGCTGTACCTCAGACAGGGGGTTGATATCCAGACTATGTAAAGAACTATAAAATTAACACCAATACTATAAAACTATCAATCAATAAATGACCTAATGAATAATCAGACAGTTCTCAAAAAAGAAACACAAAAGGCCACTAAATTTCTTTTTAATGTTCAATATCCTTAGCCATCCAGGAAATGCAAATTAAAATTACTTAGACATTGACCTCACCCAAGTCAGAATGGCTGTGATCAAGAAAACAGGAGCAGCAGAGGGAGGGATTTAAAGTAAAAATTTAAAAAGAAAAAGAATGAGAACAAATGCTGGTAAAGTGGTGTGAAAAGAGGAACCTTATCCACTGCTGGCGGGGGTATAAACTCGTATCGAGGTTCCTTCAAAAATTAAAAGTAAACTCCCATATGACCCGCTGCTCCGCTCCTGGGCATGTGCCCAAATGACTCTGTCCTGCTAACAGAGGTGCTTACATCCCTGTTCACTGCCGCACTATCCACAGTAGTAAGGACCTAGGAACTTTAAAGACGGTGTTGGTGGTGATGTTGGAGAAATTAGAACCTGTGCATACCGTTAGTGAATGGTACAGCTGATGTAGAAAGCTATATGAGGCTTCCTCAGAATTAAAAACTGAACTACCACACAAGCCAACATGTATCTCAAGGTGAAGGAATAGTTCTAAAAGAATATTCTATAAGTAGAGACACTTAGTTACACATCCAGCCCATACTAGAAATCACCGGATTCTCATTACTCTCTTGTGATGGTAGCCCACACATTCGTTTCAAGAAAATAGCTAAATTGAGAGATTTTCTTTAAAATACCTATAGACCATATCCCAGCAGAGGTTTCCTCCTTCCTGAAATTTAGATAAAGTTGGCTTGAAATCCATGTCCAGTAGAAGGCCCAGTGTCCTCTCATCCCTCTGTGAGGTCTTGTCAGATTCATAATTTCATGGTTATTCTGCCTCTTCCCTCCTAAAATTATTGGCCCCCACCTCTGCCATCATTGACCCAAATATGAAACTCATCCAAACTCAGGGTGGGTTCACAGGCAGCTTGTGAAATGGAAGCGGCTTCAGTTCCCCTAGACAACCTGCATCATGTATTACACATCAGTCCCTTGTCTCAAAATTTTGGTCAGACTACTACACTGTTCTCTCTCCCTCTCCCTCTCTCTCTCTCCCTCTCCCTCTCCCTCTCCCTTTCTCTTTCCTGTTCTTTCTCTCAATCCAAATTCCTGTATAATCTAATGTGTTTCTGCCTGTCTCCTGATGTGCAGACCCTGGGATCGTCTGCTCCAAATGACTTCTCAGGTTTTTTCCTAAACAAAGCCTTTGGTGTGTGTGTGGCGGGGGGAATAAAACCCAGGAGGTGGCAGATGCAAAGATGCTTAAATTCTTGCACACACATGTACCCACAGGTTGCCAGAGATGTTCCCGCTAGCCAGGCTGCCGTGAGTACGACCTTAACAAAATGATTACTCTTGCTCCAAAAGTGATAGTCAATAAGCCCTGTATTGTTTCTGGTGGCCAGTGCTGCAGAGAAGTGGGGACAGAGACAGCACTGTATGCCGGAATAGAGGACGGGGCTTGCACTTACACTGGCAGGAGGTACCTTGTCCTCAATTAGTGAATGTCTCCTGAACTCTTATCCTTAATAAGGCTCACATAGGAAGCCTGTGAGAAATTCAGAGAAAGCATGTAGAAGCGTATAAGGAAGAGGTCTTGTACGCAAGCCCATGGCTATATTAGGGCTCAAAGCTGCAGTATTTGTGAAATCAAATTTTCATCACTCAGGCTGAATGGAGAGAAGAAGTGAAAAAACACTTTGAGAAAATCAAAAGTGAAGGAACCTGTATCCACCGACTGGATGAGGAACTGATTCGTCGGCGGAGAGAAGAGCTCAGGTAGCTGACCAGCTTCTCCCTCACCCCAAGGCCTGCAGAAAGGAGTTGGGGCCTGGTGAACCACTCCATTTCATCTCTGTGCCTGCGTTATACTCTAAAAGTTAGCCCTACAGGGGAATCTGAAAAGGCCTGGTCTCAAAGAAGTGGGGAGTAGGACTGTGGTTACTAGAGGCTGGGGAGGGTCTGCAGAGGGACAGGGATGGGAAAGGTTGAGTAGTGGATACGAAGTTATACTTAGACCAAGGAAATAAGTCCTGATGTTCTAATGCATACTAGAAGTGGCTGTAGGTAACAATAGTGTACTGGACTGTTTGTTCGCTGGGAGTCAGAGCCCATGAAGCCCTGACTAGTCAAATCTCAATGTGTAGATCAAACTGGCCTAGAAATCACAGAGATCCACCTGCCTCTGCCTCTACTGGGATTATAAGGATGAGCTTCCATGCCCAGCTGTTGGATTGTATTTTTAAATTGAAAAGGCTAGAAGAAAGGATTTAGCATGTGTCCAACATAAAGAAATAGTTGTTTGAGGAGAGAGATATGTTTACTCTGATTTGAACACTATACAACACATACATGTATTAAAACATCACTTGGTACCCATAAGTATGTACAATTTTGTTTCAGTTAAAAATTTTATGAAGTTTTGTCCAGACACGGTAATGTAAACCTTTAATTCTAACACATAGGAGGCAGAGGCAGGTGTATTTCTGTGAGAGCAGGGCCAGCCTGGTCTATATATCGAGTTCTAGGTCATCCAGGGCTACATAGTGAGATCATGTCTCAAAACTAGACAAACAAAAATGTATTAACTTTAAACAACAAAAAGTTGTCTGGGGATTAGAGAGATGGTTCAGTGGGTAAAGGTCTTGCCCCACAAGTATGAGACCTGAGTTCAGATCCCCAGAACCCACAAAAACCGGCATGGTAATGTGCATCTGTAATCCCAGTGCTCCTAGGACAATAATGGAGGCAGAGACAGGAGAATCTCCAAAAGCTTGTGGACCAGCTAGCCAGGTATACAGCACAGAGGCAAACAGTAAAGAGATCCCTGCCTCAGTCAAGGTGTTGAGGAACAACACCTGAACTTGTCTCTGACCTCCATACATAATGCCAAGGCATGTACAAGCATGCACCATCACACACACACACACACACACACACACACACAGACATACACGCACACACACACACACACACACCACAGCTACCTTCCTTCGTATCTTTTTAAAAATGCTCTCTTCCCAACTTCCTTTCTGATTCTCTGCAACAAAGATTCTTGGAGCAATGCTATTTATGCATTCAGCCACTGTCCTCAGTGTTGTGGAAGGCCAGGAATTTATGATTTCGTTCCTGGCCTCAAGATGCTTATAATCCATTAAGGCATATTCAAGGTAATTATTATGTTGAGCACTTAGGCCTCTATAACAAAATGCTTTAGATTAAGCAATTCATAAACAAAAGAAATTTACTGCTCATAGTTCTGGAGGCTAACGGACAAAGCACCAGCAAATTCGGTATTGAGTGAAGACCCATTCCTCATATATGGTGCCCTGCATGTGTCTTCACCTGGGAGAAAAACAAAAGAGCTCCCTCAAGCCTTATTTATAGGTGCTCCTCCACGTGACCTAACAGTCTCCTGGTACCTACCTCCTGATACTATCACTTTACAGGTTAGGCTTTAACATTTGAATCTGAGGGGACACAAGCATTCAGAGCATAGCAGCCTAGATAGGGTGTTGAACGTGTCATGGATAAATACAAGTAAATGAATGTAGTGTTGGCTTTAAATTCATATTTCCAGTAACGTATGAGTATCTTACATACTTCTATTAAGATTGTGTCAATATACGCACATGAAGACTGTAAACTATACACAAATTGTATTCTTTTTTAATATTATTTTTATTTTATGTATATGAGTGTATTGCCTGCATGTATGTAAGTGCGCCCATATTGTGCAATGCCTCAGAGATCAGAAGAGGGCTTTGGAGTCCCCTGGAACTGGAGTTAAGGATGGTTTGTAGCCACCATGTGGGTGCTGGGAATTGAACCCGGTCCTCTGCAAGAGCAGTCAGTGCTCTTAACTGCTGAGCCATCTCTCCAGCCCCCCCACCCCAAATTATATTCTTATTTTGTCTGTAGCCCTCCTTTCCTATATGGCCAGATGGGCCCTTAGGAAGCTCAGATTTCCCACTTTCCATTCTTTGAGTCATTGTGTCAGATGAGAAAACCTTAAAAATGGAGAACTCTTGGCCTATGCTTTTGAACCATTCTGCCTAGCATTTCATTAGTGCTGACCATGGTTCTCTCCCAGGTCAGTCAGTCCTGCTGATCCTGTGTTTTTTCATAGACATGCTCTGGATATTCGAGAACACTATGAGAGAAAGCTTGAACGGGCTAACAATTTATACATGGAGCTGAGTGCCATCATGCTGCAGCTGGAGATGCGGGAGAAGGAGCTCATTAAGTACGTATTCAACCCCGGAAGATTCCTATTGGTTCGACAGAAGTACACTGCTCCTGCATGTGGCTGCTACAGCAAACTGACCGATATTTTATTAATTCACTCTGCAGTCCATAAGGGACTTGCTGTCTACAGTCCCTGTCTGGATAGGGCATCTGGGTGAGCAGCTGCTGCAGATCTGATGTGGGAACACTTACTTGACTAGCATTTCTACTTCACCCTACTGCATGGTTTAGAGAAGAGGGCCCATTTCAAGAACTCAGTGTGGATAAGCAGGAGCTTACTGGCCCTTGGAGAAGTAAAGTACTGCTAAAAATTGTCTGAGGGATCCCTGAAGGCAGGAAGAAGACTCTGGGGTCCTGACCCAAAATGAGCAAGGCTTATTATTTGTATTCTGTTGGGGGAGAAAAAAATGATGTGTAAGTCTGAGCTGAGAACAGAGTGAAGTTAGGTTAATTGAAATTTAGTATCTTCGTATTTATTTGAACTTGAATATCAGTCTTGTTATTCAAATAGCCTGTTAAGTGTGGCTAGAACTGTAAGTAAAATTACTCCATAAAAATATTCTTTCTTTTCTTCCTCCCTTCCCTTCCCTCCTACCCCCCCCTTTCCTTTTCCCTCCCTTCCCTCCCTTCCCTTCCTTTTCTTCCTTCCCTCCCCTCTTTACTTCCTTCATTTCCCTCCACCTCCCTTCACTCTATCCTTGCCTCCCTTCCCTCCTTGCCTCCCTTCCCTTCCTTCCCTCTTTCTCCCTCCCCTTCCTTCCCTTCCCTCACATCCCTTCCCTTCCTTCCTCCCCTCCCTTCCCCTCCCCTCCCTCCCTTGTTTCCTTCCTTCCT